CTTCTTCTTCTTCTTCTTCTTCTTCTTCTTCTTCTTCTTCTTCTTCTTCTTCTGCAAGGACCCTATTCCACTTTCTGAGATGATCATCAATTTGAGTAGAACAGCGATCATGATTTTGTTCATATTAAAAGGTTCCACACAATAAAATAAGTGAGCCAGTCAGCTGGATAGAGAATATCAGGTGCCGCCAAACAGAGTCATGGTGGATAAAACACGAATGGATCAAAACAGACACATCAAATCGCCGCTGTGAGAATATTATCCGGATTTTTTGTCTTCAAGTCTTCCTAAAACAAACAAACAAGCAAGCAAACACACACTTACACACACACAACAACAACAACAACAACAACAACAACAACAACAACAACAACAACAACAACAACAACAACAACAACACCGCTACCCAAGGGAGGCGGTGGCCCTGGCGAAGAGCACGCTTTTCGGGGCTCCAAACATTTCGAACAGATAGGCTACCACACACATACACATCAACAACACCCATACAGTCACTCTAACCTACCTGTGCCACTTTCTCGGAGACGTTCTGTTTCATGTTGGCCACATTGGGCAGTATGATGCCCCGGGAGGCCACCACGCCCTCCTTGTCCCCGGCTTTTTTGTTGGCAGCGTCCGCCAGGTTGCTGAGGCTGTCGGTGAGTGGGCGGAGCCTCTGGCGGTGCAGCTCACTGTCACTCGAGGCTTGATTGACGTAATTAGACTTGACATGATTGGACACTGTGGGGCCTGGCAGGTGGATAGAGGTAGAGCATTCTAAACAACGGTACTTTTGGCGTATAAACAAAACGAAAGAGATCAAAACAATACAGAATAAACAAAAAAACTCAAACCAAAAATTAAAAATTGAGAAAAAAAAATCCGCAGTTCAATAGATTCGCTTACCATTGTGTCCTGTAGGCAAAAGTTTCTTTTTTAACAAATCTAAAATGCGCAAATAAAAAAAAATTACCATAACGACCTACACTCTTTTTAGACTACGACTGTTAAGCTAATAACACTTATACTAGTTCTAAGACAACTTAAAAGGAGAGGCAATTCTTTCCCCAAACATTTTTAACCTTACCTGATCATGGTTATTGATTAATTTTTTTAACTTTCTAATTTGTTACAAACCTCCAATATTCCATAAAAGGTTTTCGGTAAATAAGGATACAGAAAAGAAAAGGAAAGCCTCATATTATAAATCACAGCCTAATTCAGATTCACGTTCAGCTCACTTCTATGCATTATTGGTCGTCATGAAGTAGTGAGCAGACAATGGTAATAGTTGGTCGCTTTTAAGGACACGCGGGCAAACCCAGATTGCAAGGGTTTCCAGAAATCTTGACCTGTACCAAAAGGGGCATTGCGCAACCTTTAGGAGAAGTTTGGTTTCATTGGTGTGTATATATTTGTTTGGTTATAGAGAAAACTCTCCTTTTCTTTTAAAGAAACTGAACAGTTGTCCAAAAACTTTACCTTCGATTTTCTCAAAACAGCATTTTTCGGGATAGCCCCCCTGTGCTTAAAAGCGACCAATTGTGTTCAGCCATTGATCATAGCAATGGCGTGGTGGTAAGATAAAAGAAGGGAACTGAGTAGTAACAACTGACTGAGTTTACTCAAATAGTCGGGACTATTTCTTTTGCAAGGAGGCCAAGGGCCCCAAGATCTGGAATGCTTTACCAAGTACGTTGAGTGAAATCAAATCTTTTGATTCATTCAAATGTCAGCTGAAGTCGTTTCTGT